CATTCTCCACGTCTGCAGGCGTCTGCTCTGTCTGCGTTGTGCTACTTGGCCATAAAATTCTTTCCTCTACTGGAGTACGCAAATCTGAGCTGGAAATACTTTTTTTGAGCTCTCAAAGAAAGCGTGGGAAAGATGCAGTAGGTAACAGAGATCTGATGGAAACCTTGCCAGCCAGAGTGCTATTGAATATCACTTTTCAATTCTCACATTCTTAGAGGAGCCTCTCCTAAATAAATGAAATGAAATAAATGCCCATTTATCATTCTTTCTCAGACACGCTGGCAAGTTTAACCTGTAGATTTGCCCTGGCCATGTATCCTGTGTGAGAGGGATGGTCACATCAGTGCTGTAACTGCAGTCTGTTATGCACAGGCCAGCAGTGCCATGAGTGCCTGCGGGGCTTTGCTGGCTGCGGGGCAGGAGCACAGTGCTGCAGTCAGTGCTGTTGGTGTGCAGTGTGTATCTGCATGGGGACCAGAGCTCTCTCAGCTCAGCTGCCAAAAAGATGTAGAATTCCCACACTTTGGAGGTGGGATGCACTGCTCTTAATTAGTAGCTGGGGAAAGAATTTGGATAGAGTCCTCTGTGAAAGCATTTTTTAGTTCAAGAAAATGACAAACAGACTTGTAAATTTTGCAAATGTACAAGATCTTGGGATTTCTTTTTCATTCTGTTACTGTGAGTTTCTCTGAAATTTTGCAAAAGGATTCCCATGTAAAAATCAAATTCAGTTTTTGCTTGCAAGGGCAAGTTGATTATGGAGGGTTGGTGGCCCAGCTGGGGTACTTTGCCCCTGCGCTTATTGCAGCGCAGTAGTTAGGGAACAGGGCTGCCAGGAGAGTAGTGTGAAGGAATCTCCAGATGTCACCTGCAGGGTGAGCAAAAGGAGACTTGTCTGTCATGTGCTTTTTTTTTTTTATATTGCATTTCTTTTCCCTGGAACACTTTCAGTGCTTCTTGCTTTTGAGCCAGTTATTTTAATATTTTTTTTAAACAAAGGAACAAAAGCATGTATTTATTATTTAAAAAAAAAAAAACAAAAACAAAACAAAACCACACCAACATTCTGGTTAAAAAATTTGCTTGATACATTCTGTCCCAAGGGCAATTAATATCTATTATTATTTTAATACGGGTTTGAGATTGTCATCCTTCTATATCTAGTACTGTAGCACTCTTTCCTGCTGGGAACTCAACACTGCAATATATGCAGGTTGCATATGCATGCTGCAGTCATGTTGTTAAAGCTGTATGTTGTGGTTTGTGAACCAATTCCTGTGTCCAGGTAAAAGTTTTGTGATCGTGCACAGCACAGGAACAAGGAAACTGCTCCGAAGAGGGCTTTATTTAGGATACTTCTGCAATCCTATCTTCAAGTGTGAGAAGGCTGCTGCAAAAGAGGGCTTCAAATTCATCTCCTAATTACAGTTCAGTGCCTTAACTTTATCTTTCTTCTAGTCATCTCTTCTTGTATCTTCCCAAAGGTACCACTTTATCCTTCTTCCTGAGAGTTTCTACTGTGGCATGAGAAGAAATTTTTCCGCCTTGCACTTCATTTCCTCTTACTTGGTAAACAAAGGGAAGGTGATCACATTTCACTTTATTAGGGAGAAGTGCAAGAGAAAGTCTTACTAGCAGTAGTGAATGCTCCTTCATAGTAAAGGTCATGTAGGTTGCAACTGGGATGGGAGTGCTGTACATTTTATAACCTTGTGGTGATGCAGCCTTAGTCCTGATGACGTTTGCTCAGTGTGCCGGGTCCTTTGTTGCTACCAAACCGCATTTGTGGCATTCGCCACAAACCAAAGGGTGTTCAGTGAACGTGAATAGTGAAGCACGTACATATATTGTGCTGTCCTGGAGGAGCCCTCCCAAAGGACTGTGAAAATAACTGGGAAAACACACCCTTTTGGCCCCCGGGTTCACAATTAGCTGTTTGACAATGTTCTGTGCTTCCTTCTTAGGTTACAAACTTCTTGATTAAATGACCTACATTTTGTCAAGGGGAAACAGCTGGTGAGCATGGTTTTAAGGCGTGGAGTGATTGCTGTCACGTCTCAAGATTATTTGCTGTCTTGTCCAAAGGTTTTCATGGTTTTGAGATTCAAATACACTAAAGACAAATGTTATGAATACACCTAAAATGATGGCTCACATTTCAACGGTTGCGTTGGTGACTTAAGGGGTACAAAAGATATGGATCAACAGTGCCAAGTATTCTCTTAAGTTCTGCTCAGCTAAACCCCATCACCTTGCTTTTCAGATGGTTGATACAGCTGTTCCTTGTTAAGCATGTTTGGGTGCACCTCACAAGTCCCTTTCCCCCCCAGACCCTGCACAGAGCACTTCTCTGCGCTCCAGCTTCCCCCAAAGGCTGGGTGTTGCACGTTGCTGGAAGCTGCTCACAGCTCTGTTGTTGGCCTAATGCAGGGAGGGCTGTGTTTTGAGTACTGGATTCTGGGGTGAAATTCAGCATTTCAGCTGTCTTCTTACAAATGCAGAGGTTTCTGTATTCCTTAGAAGTCTTGGGCTATTAGTGATTTGGAAAGATCTTGGTTATTGATATTTTTTTATTTGTGTAAAACGGCAACAGGCACATAATCCATAATAAACCATTTCTTCTTTATAGAGTAGCATTTGCATTAATTTAGCTTCAGATCTGTATAAAAATTAGAGGAGTCAGTGTAAACACAGTATCTGCCAGTACGTTTATAAAATCCAGTGGAGTGCTTGAAAAAGAGTTTGCGACAGTTATCCCAAAAGTTCCATGTTCCTGCGTTCTCCTTGTTAGGACTTTTTCAGTCCTTTCCTTCAGAAAAGCAGAAAAAGGCCTTCCATTTGGACTGAAAATCTTTTCCCCAAAACAAAAGGTCAAATGAGCCGCAGCCACCCTCAGAATCCTTGGAGATGCTTCCACTGCAAACCTTACCGTTGCTTCAAACATTTATTCTGAGAGTTAAAGGGTGAAGCTGTATAATTCTAATACATCTTTAAATAGAAGAACTGATAATGCTTCATGAGAGCAGAGGGGTGCATGAGACTCGCGTACTGATCTCACCAACCTGCAATACCTGTCTTATGATACAGGACACGAGCTGGAAATGCTGGTTCTGAGCAGCAAACCCAAACTGTTTTGTCTGCAAGTCTATTACTGCAAGTCTGTTGCTGAGTACTTCCACGTGTAGCTGTCATTTCGTCTTGCTGGGCTTTGTCACAGTTAGATCTCTCTCTATTGCATTTTCAAATGCAAAATATTATTTGTTGTTGTTGTTGTTGTTTCTCTCTCTCTCTCTTTCTTTCTTTCTTTTTCCCTACTAATTCCCAAAATAATTTCTGGAATGAAAAATTTCTGTTTTGGTTTTTGGAAACGCCGATAAGTCTCACACCAGATGAGTCACATCCTTTACTCTAACACCTGATGGGCATGTAACCCATAGCAGCTTGCAACGCACTGGTTGTTCTTTCTTTAGCTGCTGCAGTTCTTTGGCAAAAGTGTTTTTTCTCCAAGTACCCCAGGAAGGCAAGAAACTATTCCTCTGCTGTTCCTTATTTTGTGGATGGCTGCGTTGCAATGCTCTTGCTTTCTCCATGGAAATACTATTCTCTTAAAAATCCCTGTAAGTGAAAGCACAGCACTGTGCAGGAAAATCTGGGATTGCTTCTGTGTGCTAACGGACTTTGCAGGTCCAGTTTTGTCTGGAAGGAGTGGCCATCCAGAACAGAGGGCAAACAGGGATTTGGGAAAGTGTTACTGAGATGGTTGTGTTTGTTTTTAGCAGAAATCAGATAAAGTTGTATTGCTCGGGCACACCCATAGTGAAGCAGAACCGAAGGAAAGGCTTCGTTATTCTTTGAAGGCAGGGAGAGAGGGGAGAGAAGACTGCATGTGAAGCTGTAAGCAGTCCAGAGTGCCTGTAGTTTCCAAATGACATTTTAAACAATCAGAGCTGAACTTTCAGAGGGAGATGTTTTGAAATGGTTGGGATTAAATAGTGCCTTGTGGTGAGGTTTAGGACAACGTGCACATTGCTGTTTCTCCGTCTGCTAGTTCTCCAGAAAAAGGGAAGCTCCAGCACAGTGTTTAGATTTCTTTTGAGTCTCAAAAACCTGAGACATTGAGAAAATGCTCAGTGGACTTTCTGTACGGTTGTATTCTCAGTCCTACGTACTAATGGCTGAAAAGTCTGGGCTGTGAGTTAACGTATTGCAGATACTCTTGTTGGAGTTCGGTAGAAATATGGCATATATGCAAACTCCCTAGGCCGCGTTCTGTTGTTTTAACCACTGAAGGCTCAATTGGTTGTTCTGAATGAAGTGATGTGAGGAATTGCAAAAGAAGAAGGAAAGAAAAATGCTTATCTTCATGTCTTGAGACAAGCTGTAGGTAAAGGGGAAATGCTTGTGAACTACTGCGTTTCGCTCATGACCAGAAAACTCAGTTCAGACTTTGTTCTGTTTCATTGTCAGTAGGTAAATGCTGTGCCTGTGTTCCTGCAGGCTTTCAAGAAATCATGACTATTTAGAGGGTTGCTGGCGTTGTTTCTTTTAATGGATTGCATCCACTTTCATGTGCCTAATTTGTACAGCACCGTCTCTCGTGTCTTTGCTGTAGTCATCTACTTTTGCCGTTCCTCCTGTTTGCTTAATTGCTGGAGGTCACACTGTAAGTGCATCAGTGCTGTCTGCTGGGAACCTGTGGAGTATTTAGCAGCTTCCACAGAGGTACAGTGCTGCATAGTCCTAAGCCTTAACCAGAGAAGATACTCATACCTTCAAGCATTGGCAGCCTAACCATACAGTCTCTCTGCTGCTGTTCTATAAGCATTAAGAGAGAGCTCTAAGAACGTTTAAAAATTCTTATCTGTAAGCAGCTAACAGGGCCATAAAGTATTGCTTCAGGAGTTGTTTTGTTTTGAATTGCTTCCATGTGAAATGTGTACAGGAGAATAACTTAGCTTTCCGTTGCTGAGTTCATAATAACTTTGTCCTGTTGTTCACAGTCAAACTGCAGCTTCAAGCAGAAGAAAGAGGAGTGGTATCAATCAAAGGTTTAAGTGCAAACCGGTTTCTGGCTATGAAGGAGGATGGCAGATTGCTGGCACTGGTAAGCAGTATTTCTTAATGGTATCTTTCTGTATCTTATTGCTAGGTCCTCTTTTCAGTCTGTGCAATGTATTGGGGAGAAATCAGCTCAGAAAAAATTGTGTCAATGAAGAGAGAGGTTTCTGCCCTCACCCACCAACAGCAGTGCATGCTGAAGAAGTGGAGTGTGGCACTGTCTGTTAGAGAGAAGTCAGAATGAATGTGTGGGGTAGGAAACGATGCGAACAAAGAAAGTATAAATGTTCTCCTTTTTTTTCCTCCAGAGTAATTTTTTCCTCTTAAGTTTCCTTTCACATAAGTGATGGTAAAGACCCTTTTAAAGTAGAAGGTAAAGCCAACTCGTACAAAACTTTGATGTTTTTGGCAGTAGCTTGTGTATATTACTTTCTCATTCTCCTTTTTGTAGGGAATCAAGTTTGTTCTTTTTTTTTTTTTTTTTTTTTTTTTTTTTTTTTTTTTGAGTACATACACTTCCAAGCTAGTGAGTTGGCAAGAAAAACATTTTTGTCAATATAATGATAGAATTAAAAATAAATAAATAAATAAAACTAGTTTGTTAGCACTAATTTTAATTTAAACTCTGTTCTTTTTTTATTACCATCGCATTAATTTTTAACTGTGTTTTGAAGCCAATCTGCTTAGCAGAATCTGAAAGGTAATAAGATCTCCAAGGCCTAAATCTTAAATAGAGGCTGTAAATTGTAGAATCACAGAATGGCTTGGGTTGCACAGGACCTCAAAGTCCATCTAGTCCCAACCCCCTGCTGGGGGCTGGTTGCCTCCCACCAGCTCAGGCTGCCCAGGACCCCATCCAGCCTGGCCTTGAGCACCTGCAGGGGTGGAGCTTTCACAGACCTCTGGGCAGCCTGTGCAAGAAAAAAAAATCTTTTGTCCATGTTCATAACTTTGAATTCGAGCAGTCTTTAAATGTAGTGTCCAATGGAATACCGCTGTGGAGCATCCCACTGGAATTTTAGTTTTAAACTAGCTGTGATGCTTTTGGTATCCTGAAAATAGTCACATTTGGATTCTGTGTCCCAGCTAACAACACTGGGAACAGGTGTTAATAATAAAGTGAATTCCTAACCCCAGCTGAACTGCAGCTAGTGGAAGGCCCATGCGAAGGGCTACAGAAGTCACTAAGCGAAAGTGAAATTAGTCTCAGTGAAATTAGTCCAAAGGCAAATGGAATATTTCAACAGCTTTGTGTGTGCAGGGAGCCCTGGTGTGCTTCTCAACCACGTAGCGCACCATCTCTTGCTTCTCCAAACAGGTTCTGTTTATGCCTGGGAATATAATTAAATAACCCTTTTCAAGTTACAGTGTTATTTACTTGGATGTTTTGACAGATCAGTTGAAGAAAATGTGAATAGTAGTCTACTGTGCTATTCTTGTATTAAGGATAATTGGGAATTTCCTGTGGTACTGGTGTGCTGGCATTCTGCTTCCTGTTCAAATTACCCTCCTTAGCCTAAGCAGCAGTGAATGGTCAAAGTAAACGTTTGGCATCAGTTGTAAAATTACGAACAGTTGGCTGTGTTTGTATTTGGCATTTCCAGCCTCCTGTTGCACAGTGGGATCTTGACTGTGTCCTTTGTAGGATGTGCCTCTGTTGCAGCTATGCACAGCGGTTTTGGAAATGGCTTTTACTTGAATCATGTTTGCTGCAAACACTGCTTCCTGCAACCCTTCAGATTTGCTATTCATAGGAGAAAACTCCTTGCTCTAAGAAGGTTTTGTTCTTCATCCAGCCCGTGTTTCACGTCTAATGACTATTTCTGCAGTTCTGCAGTTGTTCTCTGAGGCACAAGCTGTGTTTTCCAGGAGGATTTCTGTGAGTTAGTTGTCAGTTGTGCCTCTGCTCTTTTCTGCCTATAAACACATCCGTGGAATTGTGCATAATTGCCAGTGTTTCTTCTTCAGTTTGAGGAGGGTTGTTTCAGCAGGAGCATTGTAAGAGCGCGTTCTGGAAATTTTTGTGCTGAAGTGATCTCATCAGTGCATGTGAATTTGTATCTGCTGAGATCTTCGGGTATTCCTTTAAAAATACTGCTGAGCTTTAATTTCTAAGCAGCTGTTTAATTCTTTATTCCAGTATTCTGTGTTTTTCCATCACTAGTTTTTAACAGCATACTTTCCAATTATGACAGAATTTGAAAGATAGATTTATTCCCAGGAAGAACATTAAACCCCTAAACATTATGAGGCCTTCACAAATTTCTGTGGTGAAACTGCTGGTTATTTTCTCAATTTTTCTTTTTTCTTCTTTTTTCTTTTTTCTTTTTTCTATTTATTTTATTTTTTTCCTTGTCTGATCACCTTCTTAGTCATCAGTAAACCAGCCTAGGCCCATGTTCCTTCCCTGTTCAGTTTTGTTCATAGGCACGTACGGTACGTTGCCAAGTGATTCAACAGCTAAGAGCATGCCCGTTTTTCAGGACCTGTTTTTTTGAGATACCACAGTTAAGAATCTCTTTGGTATTGCACAGATGCACGCTAAGTTGAACATCACTTTACATAGTTTATTCTTTGTCCTGGGTATGTTTGGCTCTTCTGTAATTGCAGGCTCTCCTATCTGTGCTTGCGTCTTGCTTTGTTGTGTGAGCCAGGTTTCTGCTATGTGAAACAAACATTTTAAGGCTTATAGCTCCTTACGACATTGGGTAGGCATACTAGTTTTATGTAAACACTTCTTAATGTCTGTCTTCTTTCTTCATTCTCATTACTATCAAGTATCAATTTCTGATGTTTAATAAACATATTATCAGCTTCATAAATCCATTTGAAAATCTTCATTCAGCCTCGCTTTTCTTCCAGTTGGGTTCTTTGTGTCTTTGTGGTTTGTGCCTAGTTTGATTTTTGTGAAATGGCTTATTGCTTAGCCAGTATCTTACTACTTACAGTGATGCTTTGCGTGGTGGGCTGCATTCCTGTCTTGAAATCTAGATATGGCTTTTCATTAAGCTCTGTGTGCCCTCTGCCAACAGATTTCTGTTGCTGTGGGAGAGTGGTGGTGTTTACTGGTCTGGTCGGTGGAGGAGATGGCTGGTGATTGATACAGCTAATCTAAAGCCTTCCTTGAAAATGCTTTTTTAACCAAGAATATTTTCTCAGAAATATTTTTTCAGAACTCCATCAGATTTTGAATGGCAGAATCAAAACATTTCACTTATAATATGGCTACTGTGTTTTATTTTGACTTTCTAGTTTCATTTAATTACGCTGTTTAAGTATTTTCACTTCATGGAATCAAATGTTTCTGATCATTTCACTTTATGAAGAAACGTCTCAAAATTTCCTGTGAAAGGAACGACTGTTTTTGACTGCCTTTCCTATTTCACAACAAATAAATTGCCAGTAGTGTACAGCCCATCACGTTGATGTGGTTTAGCTGTGATCAGGCAGGCTCTGCTAGACTGAAGGGACATTTTTTCCCTTTGGTCTCAGGGATTAGAATTGTGGCACAAGAATATTTATCAGTTAAGCTTTGTGCAAAAATGAGGACTTCGGTGTTCAGAGCAAACCATGTGGCACCTTTCTAAGTAATCTTTATCAACTTAAAGAATAGGTTTTCTTTTTTTTTTTTTTTTTTTTTTTAATGTTCTATTGCCAATTTTTGGTTATTTTTGGTTATTTTTATCACACCCACAAGTTGCATGAATGTGTTTGGGGAGTTTAATCTATTAATCTATTTTTCTTCATAAACCTGAAAAATTTGAGGAAGCCTAATAGGAGGAGTGTGTTTCTTTGAACTGTGATTGTGTTGCTTTTGTGCCAAGTTGTCTTTCACTTGTGTCCAGACTGTTGGTGCCTGCTTTGGTTCACTGTGATGGTTTCCCATGCTGGTGGCAGCTGAGGCTGAGCCCAGCACAGGGCTTCAGTTTCCACTTTGGGCAGCTGCACTGCACTGACCTACACTGGGCTCCAAGTTCTGTTCCGTTCCCGAACGCTGTTCTTTCTTACGTTGTTTCTGTGTCCTCTTAAGGCTGCCTGTAATCCATTTCAGACTTGAATCATTGGTTAATGCATCTGTTTTCCCACTGCTATGCTGAAAGGCATTACAATATAATCACTGTTCAGAATGATTATTTAAAATATAAATCATATGAAAATTCATTTGGTCAATGCAATTTCAAATATAAAAGCATTAGTCATTTATAAAAATGATAGATTAATTATGGGTGGTTTTTTTTTCCTAAGTTCTTTTCCTTAGAAACCAAAACTTCTCTCTGAAAATGGCTGAAGTGGAGGAGCTGTATTTTTTTTTTTATTGCCAAAACTTGAAGACATATGTTTGGAGATGGATTACTTTATTATAGTCTGCATTTGAATGACTTAATTGCTTGTAGCTGGGCATGTGTAAGGAATGAACTCATGTGTTTCTGTGCGTTCTCTGTGAAGTCTGGTTCTTTCAAGCTCACTTTTTTTTTTTTTTTAGTCTGAAATAGTTTGGCTAGTGTATGGGGCTGCTGAGTCACGGCCTGAACCTCTGATTAATCACCTGCAGAGATGAGCAGTGAGTCAGCCACGGGAGCACAGCTGAAGGCAATTCACCTGTGCTGCAGGAAGGGGTGGAGCCTGGCTCTACCTCTCCTAGACCCATTTAAGAGCTGACTGCCAGGGGGGAAGGATCCCTACTGGAGATCCACTCCGCTGGAGTTTACCACATGAGCCCAGGGTAAGATGAGTGTTCTTCTTTCCTGCTCTAGTATGATAATTACATCAGCCAAACTCCTGGATATACTGTATCATCTGTATATTCATTGATTGTACAGCTACTTTATCTATTAATGAATATTACCAGAAGACTGTAGCCAAGATTTGCTTGCTTGTATAGGAAATTTCCTTACATCTCCTGTTTTCTCTCCGAGATTTTGCATGTTTCCTTCTTCCTCCAGGCATCCCAAACTCTTTTTCAGGGTAAACGTGTATAACGGTGCTCTCCCTTCCCCAGTAAATTAATTGCAGTGTTGAACTTCATCCGTCTTTTCATTTGAGTGTATTTTTCTTGTTTAAAGTATAGGTTCTGCAGGCAAATTTGGCGCTATTTATGCTATTGGAACAAGATTATTGATTGACAGGGATAATCTTTTTTTTTTCTTGTTGTGAATATGCTATGGGATAACTGCAGTTAAACTGTCCTGCTTTCTCTTGACTGTCAGTAGCTCTAAGTACCAGACACAATTCCATTAGCCAGGTTTTTTCTCCACTGGGACATAATAGGCATCCAAGGAAACTTGTGAATTGAACATCATCTATTGCAAGAATTTTCTTAAATGATCTCACTGATCTGAATGGAATCATGAGAAAATTAAGATACTTTCTCTTCAGCATGGTCACTCTTGGGGAGCGTTGGTTTCCACTGAGAGCAGAGATGTGTGGATTGAACTACATTGCATTGTTGGTTAAAGCGGGCTCAACTTTCTGAGCAGCTTAGTGCAGCTGAGCATCTTCTCTGTGGTGACTGTAGGAAAATACTGCGAATATGAATGTGCACAACCTGGGAGTTGGGATCTGTCAGTCAGTGCTGATAGACATGGCTCTCCTTACACCTGACTATATTTCAGACAGAAAGAAGCAAAACCAGGATAGAATCTGCTTTGTCTTTATTAAAGACAATTAATGAGTCATAGTTAAAAATTATTTTTGTAGGTGTTTTAAACACCGCATTAACAGTAATTGTATTTTTCTTTAAGCATGAAACATTTCATACAAATTTCTTAAATCTGAATGTACTGCTAAGTTAATATCATAAGTTAGTCCTGTAAATCAGACCAAGTGCTGGGTTGTGATGAAGTATCAAATAATCCCTTTCTTTTTCTCTTTCAGAAATGTGCAACAGAAGAATGTTTCTTTTTTGAGCGTTTGGAATCTAATAACTATAACACTTACCGGTCACGGAAGTACTCTGATTGGTATGTGGCACTGAAAAGAACTGGACAGTACAAACCCGGACCAAAAACTGGACCTGGACAGAAAGCTATCCTTTTTCTTCCAATGTCTGCTAAAAGCTGATTTGCAGGGTGGGTTCTGAACGTATGCCACACTACACTTTAAGAGGCAGAGTTTCTTGCTCCTCACCAAACTAGTAAAAATAGAAGCTGTTGTTTGCTGATATCAGCTACTTTTGCAGAAAGGTTAAAACATGAATGTTTCTTCCTGTCTTCATACTGCTCTGTAAACCTATTGTGCCAGTGTGTGTGGAGGTAAAATTATGTAGAGAATCTATTTTCAGGATCAGTAACACCTCTATTTTCTGCTAGAGATTTCTATAGAGCTATTTTATTTACTTTATATTCACTTTACAGAGTAAAGGGAAACTAACTGATGCACGCTAACAGGAAAACTTGCCATTTGAAATAATTTATATATCTGTAGCTTATTAGAGAATAAATACTGATTTTTTTCTTCTCAAAAATAAGTCCACAAATAATTTCAATATGGTCTAAGTAACTCTGAATAAAAATTTTAAATTATTAATATAATTATGTGAAATTTGTTGCTATCATGTAATGTTTCTATAGGATTCAGGCAGCTCCCTGTGGTATAGTTTGTAGAAGCGGCCTGTGTAAACAGCTGGAAACTCTCTCATGGTTATATCAATTTTATCAAACCCTTCCCGGTATCCATAAAGTAACAGCTTAGCTACGTTGCTCGTGATGGGAGTAGCATGTTTTGTCCTGGCAAGCTCGTCCAGGTCCATCCACTCACACCGCAAGCATTCCTGCTGGCAGAAGTTGATGGTGAAGGAGGAGGGCTGCAGGCGACAGATGATGTACATGTCTGACTTCCCAAAGGCTCCAGGGTGTTTGTGTTGCTGTCTTATGCTTAGGATGGACTTGAACTCTGACTTGATGCCAGTCTCTTCAAAAACCTCTCGAATTGCCGTGTCTCCTAGGCAAGGAGAGCAATTGTTTGAATATATACAAGAACATACACTCTTTAAACCTTTTGATCCCAGAATAAACATCTTCTCTTCTGTTTAGCAAGCTTTTCAAAATGCAGAGCTTGTTTGCCTTTCTACACAAGGACAAGCTAACTTTTTGGTCCCTGAACAAAACTAATTGCAAACTACCTTTCTTTTGCATATGCTACAAAAAGATGAAAGAAACTTTCCCTAATACTGTCTCCAGGGTGTAGTTTTGAAATTTGTCTTCTATCTTGCAGTAGAATGTTCTGCATAAGTTTAACATCAAATATATAGAGGCCTTTGGGGGATTGGAAGCCCATTAATACCTAGTGCCTGCAGAACATTTGTGTTTGTAACTTTCACTGCAGTTTTAATTACAAGGCAACTGGCTATAGGGAAAGATACTCATGTGCCATTACTAATGCCTAGGGAGACTGCACTGTACACAGCCCAGGGTGGCCCTTGCAGTCCTCTGGTTTAAAAGTGTTGCAAAGCAAACTCCCTAGGGCAAGTGATTTTTATTATAAGGATCCATTGCACTGAAATGGTCAAAGAAGGTAAACAACTGAGATTGGGCAGAATGCCAAGGCAGGCTATGGTAAGAAAAACTGAACAGAGATTTCATTTAAGCTTTGAGCTTTTCTTTTAGATCAAGTGCCATTTTCTTTTTCTGTTTTAATGTATGTATTTTAAATATGACACTTAAACTAGAAGAAACAGTAGGGCTTGAATCTCAGAAATAAGCAAAGTGCACAGATTATTCTATTTGCATAATCTCCATTATGAAGCTATTCAGATTACTTGTGCAAATCAATTTGTTCTCATTAAAGTTAGCAGTTGTATTTTGTTGCTTCAATAATAGCAGGATTTTCAAGCGTAACACCGCTTAAAATTTGGACTCTTGGGTGAGTTTATAAGACTTCATGTAAGTGATGGAAAAAGAAAAAATTTTTTTTTATTTTATTCATTACTAATTTATCTCTTTGGTAATATTGAAATGCGATGCACAGAACCATAGCATTTATTATGATATTGTTAAGCAGAGGTAGGAGGGGAGCTCTGAGTGACTTGTTTCTTCCTGGTCCTTCTTAATATTTACATCCAGGCTCCATCCATAATCTCACCTGTTACTTGAGGGATGGCTGCTGGTACTCAGAATTGCCCTAGTGAAGCAGTCTCTCATTCTAGTTATTTTCCCTCACTACAAAAGCTCCTCTGGTATCTCTTGGCTCAGATCCTCTTACTCTAAGGGCAAGAGTGTCTGGCTAGGCAACAGTGTTGGGGGTTCTTTAAAAAGCGTGAAGCCATTCCATTGTGCTGAACGTAATTGCGGTGTTGAACAAAGAATTTTGATTTCTATCACTGTTTGACAATGCAGTTGAAATGTGATTCCAGAGTTTGAAAAACTACAAGTCAACTTTCTCCGTGTGTTGAAATAATGAATTGGAATACAAGCTTTCCACACATTGCTATTGGATCACTGCTAAGATAAGGTATGAAACAGATTTTAAGGTATCAGTACTGTTTGTAGAGCTTCTGCATTGCTCTGGGCAGTGTTTTTGTCAAACTTCACTTATTAGAAGAATATATTCCTGTCTGAAGACAGATGTGGGCTAAATAACTGTGAGTTTACCTTTTGAAACTAAGACCTACCTAATAACTGCAGTATAATTTAAGAATTAACCAGTCTGTGGATTGTAGTTTCAGGAGGTGAAATACAAGGACAAAAGCACAATCTTCTATCTCTTCGTACACATCCTTATTCATTCACCTTTGAACCTAAGTGCAGCAGCTGTGTTGAGCATCACTTGTGCTATGCTAGGTAGAAATAGCTGTCCTCAAAACAGCATTGTTTCTTAATGCAGAAGTGCCTTATGTCACCTCAAAGTAGGTGGCCCCAAACATCAGGAACTGCATTTACGCTGGTCCTGTGCCAAGAGCTCTTAGTGTAAGCAAATCAGTGGATGAGGGTGGAAGGAGGCACGTGTATTTATTGCTGTTTTGCACACAAATATTGAAAGCTGGAAATTTTAGATTTTTGCCCAGGACGTCTCTGAGCCCCCTGCCCTGGATTGCAGTGTGAGCTGAGGACTTGCGATTTCAGTTTTACGTTTTATCTGCTGATTATTTAAGTCCTCTGTGCTTCTTACTCTTACTGCAACATAGCCAACAAACCTATGAAAGTTGGCTTTAAGTACTTACAAGAACCTGTGCAAAAATGGAGATGTTATAATGCTTCCCTGCCCTCAATATGATCTCACCCTAACCTTCATGTTATAAGATCGTGTCACTTAATCCATTAGCCATTATTTCAAGGCAGTGAGTAGTCACAGGAGTGGTGTGGGTCACTATGTATTTCAGTGTTAATGTCTTTGTAGTTCCACTGATGTCTGACCTGTTATTGTTGAACTTACCAATGTCTTCACCAGGATTAGACAGACCTCCTGGGAATTTCCATCCACTTACGGTCTGCATTGGAGAAAAAAATATTAATGAAGTATGCAGCCTATTTTGTACTCTGGAATATGAAGGTGACAGTTAACACATTATGTGAACTTGAGGTATTGTAATTACTCTTACAAATGTCAGTAAAGATTTAAGTCGAAACTATTTTTTCTTGCTAATGTGATGATCAGAGACATCTACAGTCTGTATCAAATATTGGAACAAAACATCTACTGACTGAAACAAACTGTCTAACAATCATTAGACAATGTTGCTGCTAGATAACTAGATAGTAGTTGAATATTTTAAAAAGCTGCTATAGACTGTATACTCTTATATTTAATCACTAATGTATCCCACTTCCATGTTTCTGGCTTTTAAAAAAATGTATATATATTTAATCTTACAAACAGGTATGATTTAGTACTGTTCTATACTGCACTGGCTTTAAGATGACTGTGTGTGTCTGTAATAACCATTTTGTGCAACCTGTCACTTGTTTTTATGGAGTTCCAAAACCGAGGCCTTGTGTGTGATTTATGTAAAGAAGCATTTATGGAATTGCAATAAAGTTCAGTACTTAGAACAGAACTGCAGACGTGGTGCTGTAATCGATACTGGTTACAAAGTCCTAGTTCCTACACCTGGCAAATGCACAAAGATCTGCAGGATTTTATTTTACATACCACTTTTTATTCCTTTCCTTAATAAATATGTATATAAGAAGAAGTTAACTAACCTTTAACTAGAAACTAATGCAGAAAAAAATGTATGCTAGCAAAAAAAAAAAAAAGTTGGCTTTCCAGGGATTTTAAGCCCCACTGATTACATTGGAAAATGCTTTTTTCTGGGCACTCATAAAGGGCTTGAATAGGAATTGAGAGTAATAGATTAAAAATAGTGCAGATGGAAAGTACATAGATTTGCTGGCTTTAAGATTTGCTTTCAGATCCTGGAAATCTTGCTGTGTGTGCAGTGGAATTGTCTTTTCATGATGAAACCCAAACAGCTCTTAAAAATCCACAAGCTTCTATCATAAAGCTGCATATAAACTTAAAATTTCTAAACCTTCCAGACCATAATCTGTAATTACCCATTTCGGGGAAGTGGTTCATTTGGGAGGAAGGAGGAGAGAAGAGTGGTGGGACTGGCATTGGCAAATAACTGTCTGAGCCAATTTGCTTGCACTGAGGTAACTGCTTGCTGCACAAGAACTGTATGGGTATTCACACACCTCAGTTTTTATACTTAATTTAAATAAAAAAATAAAAATGAGCTGTAAGGAGAAGAGACAGAAACAATCACTTTTCTCCTTTCAGCTCACCTACTGTAATAACAGCTTTGTTCTACAAAGGTAAGCAGAAACAGCTGACCTGGAATGTCGTCCCACCTTTCAGATGGAGCCAGAGAAAAGTGTGGTGCTGTACTTGGTCCTGTTACATTCAGGGACCAGAGGGTAAGGAAGCAAATTCTGGTGAGTCTAGAACTGGATGTCGAACCTCAACAGAATATCTGATGTCTCACTGTAAAACTGGACGGAGATATTTGCACTTAAAATGGCTGTGGTTGAGCTTTAGCAATAACTCAGTGTTAGCAAGTTAAATCTTAAAAATCTGTTGTCCCATGGAAGCTACTGCTTCCTTTGAAGTTGCAGAATGTGTAGCTTCCATTTTTACTCTTTGAGATCTCTTTTATTTAAGGTACTTATTGAAAGGTCAGCGTGCAGTTTCTCACTGTTACATGCACAGAAATGTTAAGGAAAAACAAATGGAGTATTTGTATTATATACTGTTCTTTTCTTAGAGGCTCTCTGGGATTAGAACCATTTCTGGAGCCTATGCCTTGCATACTGTGTTTATGCTTTAATTGGTAATTATTGAATGAAAGCCTGAAGATCTCGTTGTAGAGAAGTCCTTGAAATTTTACTGTACAGTAAGTACAAATATACAATCAGCAATCTATATGGAACAAGAAAAGGATGCTTTTCTTCCTCCCAATTTGCACTGCAAGTTCAATGAATGAATTTGCCTATGAAAACACATTTTCATTAACTGTTGTGTTACCATGAAGTGATGGTTAACTTGGTTTCCAAGAAAAATTCTTTAGTAGTTATTTCGGGAAAAGCAGAACAATATAGGCAGTGAGATTTTGGCTTAGATTGAATTATAAAGATGATGCAACCCCGTGTACTTCAGTTAGCATGTAGAGATTTTGACTTTTTTTTTCCATGTTAAAACTGCAAATAACCTTGCTGTCCTAGAGATGCTTACTTCATTTGTGAAAGATCCTTTGTCTGTTCAAAGCACAGTGTAAACTAAATGTATTTTAAACAGACTAGCAGAGACAGCTGCAAATGAGCTAGTGAGCTTTATGCACTTCTGTGTTAAAACCTAGGTTAGCTTGATAGTTGCTAGAAGAAATTTGCAGTGATGGATGCTCAGTTACCTCAAGCCACATCACATAACCCACCCGCACCACACTAACACTCTCTGGTTTGGCATCCTCTGTAGTGAGGTCAAGCACTTTGGTTTGTGAGAAATTCACAATCTTTACACCTGCTTTACACAGGTGGTTTACAGGTCATGGCCAACCATGGCATTGCTTATTTAATCCCACAAATATGCCTGGAATTTCAGAAACCAAGCAAAATCACAGTCTCCCAAAATCTGCTTTAAGCTGTGAGTGCTTTCTAGAGATCTGCATGGATCCAAACATAAGCTCAGGTACTCCTGGATCAGTTACAGGAGAAACACAAAACATGAAGCAGAAGGGGTACGGGGTGATGAAGCCAAGAAACAGAGTGAGTTTCTTGGACTCTTCTAACCCATGTGTTGTGGCAGAGGAAGGACAAAGCCAGTGATCTGGTACATCTTCACAGTACTGGGAACTGCAAACTGAATGCTCATCAAGGAGGAAGTAGGTATTCTTTTCTACAGGTATGCTAGTGCCTGGAATACTTACACTGTTGCTTTTTAGTAGTAACCAACTACATTACTTGTCCTTTTTCTACCTATCACGCTTTTTAATCTAATGCACTACTAATGAATGTTAAAAATCGTCAAGTAAGATAAACACAAATGCAATACAAATGAGCATGCATGCACATGCCTGTCTTCATGCTTGTGGACCTTAGCTGGCATCATTCGCCTAAATGAATTTGATGAAAGGAGAAACCATATAAACCTAAATGAACTTCTCTATTTTACAGCCCTGTAGCAAACTTACCTTATTTCTGTCTTGTACAACCAGCACCTTTCCATTGTTTTCATCCAATACAGCACCTATTAGAGAGACAATATTGAAAAAGATGTTGAACAATTTAACGTGTTTTGATGAAGTGTGACAAACCCCTAATGATCGTTAGCAGACCTAAAGAATGCAAGATCAGAATGTCTACAGATAACCCAGCAATGCTGCTTTCTTCAGCAGGAATGTGTAATCTTACTGAAATAAGAGATTTTTTTTCCCCTTATTTTGGCCAAATAGCCAGGATAGGCAAGAACTTTTCTCCAGTGAAATTCATGACAAAACTGCTTACAATGAAGCAGTAAGTGTGTTTTCTGGCTGATAACACTCAAATCTTAATACTTGGGGGGCTGACGTGTACTGCTGAGGAAAAAATTCCAGCAACTGAACGGACTCATACTCCACTGCCCATAAAACAACCGATGACAGTGCACAGTCTCTGATTAACTTGTTAATCAAAGAACCATTGCTCCCAAGTGGAAAAATGATGCTTTCACTTAGAGATTACATTTATTAGAATGTATGAATGAGAAATTCAGCTTTTCCGTGCATCCTCATGCTGAGCCCAGGAATTTCTCCCACAGAATGAGTTTTCCTACTGTTTAAAACCCAAGTGCTTGCATGTCTAAGCATCGTGTCACTCTCATTAGTCATAGTGTAAAAATGTTTTCCCTTTAAAACAGGCATTCTGTCAGATTTTAAAGCTGTGCGCTGTGGTGAGCAGAATAAGTACAGCGGTGCAGCTTACCAGGTCCTTTTCCACATCAGTCATACGTGGGTTTAAAATTAGTGGGTAAAAAGTGCTTCTGGCACTGTACAGCAAGAGGAAGAATATATGGATAGCTCTGTGATGATATGCACATTTAAAATGCTATGGAGAAATATTTCCACAGAAAGGAATCATTAAGATATGAGTGTCCAGCACAAAACATCTTTCTTGAAAAAAAAAAATACATGGTGGAATTATGTGTAGGAGGAATACTTAAAAAATGAAATACTAGTTCTCCTTCAAGATATGTCAAAGGATGTGCTTTAAGAGGGTAGTCACGAATCTGCTTCCCATTATTTGTGACAGTGATCTCATTTCTCTTGTAAATATTTAGCAATGCCCAGGTTCAAGTACTGCACTGATCAAAAGAGGGGGAAAAAAGGGAAGTGGGAGTTTTTGATATATGCTGTGATTGCAGGGATTATTTTCTAGAAAAGCCTTTTTTAGCCTGATGGTTTGGTGAGACACAGGTGGACTGCTGAAGACAGGATGCTGCAGTATGAACCGGACAGGAAGAACTCATTTTTTTTTTCCCCAAAAACTGATGCCCATGAATGTAGTTTCTGGCCATAAAATTCTCTGAGATGCCCAGAATCTCTAAGAGATGACACTTAAATGCAAAGCGAGAAGTAAGAAATAGCACTGATAGGCTTCACTCTCTGGTCTTGTTTTGCCAAGCAAAATTGAGAGTCCCCTGCTGCAGCTCGCTGGGCCACATCTGCTCAGCATCAGTGAGGCCAGGCTCTGCCCATTGGCTCAGATTTTGGTTTTGAGAACTTCCACTCTTGAAATCATCCAGCTCTAGAATGCCTTTCCAGAAAGGCTGATGCTTGAGACTAACCAAGCAGTCACTGGTACAACGCTGATTTCTTTTAACTGCTTTTTGTTGGTAGGTAAGAATCTTATGTTTAAAAGCCCTGAGACAACTTCATAATAAGTAATGGAGGGGAAAAATACCTTCCCTCTGGCAGTTTTATTTACAGTTGATGTAAGCATGTGACAAGATGTTCATAACAGCAGACCGGTTGTCTGGCAAGCACCCCTGAGGGCTTGCTTTATAAACATGACCAAGCAGCAGCAGGTATTGATTTGTAAAACAGCCTGGTGCCTTCTTTTAAATCACTTGTGATTGCATGGACAGCCATGACTACATAAGGCATCCTCCCAGCAGGCTGACCTTCGTGCAGCGGCTCGCTCCATACAGTTCCTTAAGTAAAAGCTTCTTTCCGCTTTAGTCTTCCTTCTCAACTTCTCATGCCATTGCTATGGGGCATATTTACAAATATGTCACTTTCTGGATGGCAGAGAACTTCCCAAGTGCTTTTCAAAAACACTTTGATCATTTCATTCACCAGAAGCTTTCCTGTCCCTTTACATATTTGGAAAATCCTGCCGCCTACGAACGGATGCAGTAAGTTAGCCAGGAGGTGCATCACATATTCCACTATTTCTAAACAATAATGGCCAAACCCTATGAGTAACATTTGCTACTTTCTCTTCTTGGCGATTCTGATCTAGTCTAGCCAATATGGCCTGACCTTGCTTATTCACACCTTTGTCATCTCTTGGCTGGCTGAGGGTAAGGCAGCAGCCCTGGATGTGCCATGTTCACCGCGTAGGAAGCCACAGACAGTACAACAACAGCTGCTGGTCTGCTTGGCAGTGCAGGCTCTGCTGTTTATCTCCAGAATGCTCAAGGGACAAAGCCTTGTCTTTAGCTGGCTGGCCATAGTGCTGAGATGAGGACTCTCAGCAAGTTTGTTTCTCCTTACTGCAGAAGCTATCATAGTGTCATGAAGGTTGGAAAAGACTGCTAAGATCATCTAGTCAACCATCAGCCCATCACCACCATGCCCATTAATCCCTAAGTGGTTATTCTAAAACACAGAGTTCTTTTTGCACAAGAAATAAGAACACCTGGAGTTTGGCACATGCACACTGCTGATGTTAAGTGTGACCGTATTTAAATATTTTGGTATTAGAATAAAATGAGTTAAAAATAGAACAAAATGCTTCTGCTACCCAGGATCTGTTTGATGGGGTAGAAAGATGACAGGTTAAACACATGCCAGGTGCTGTCCACACTGCTTGGTGCGTTCCTGCAGTGTATTCCACATCCACTGATGGTGCATAAAACATAAAAATATTATTGCAGTAATTGCTTTCATATGCAGAAATGTCAGCTTAGTTCACCAAATGCCTTTCTGAGATCTTCACCCGTTAAAAGAATTTTCAGCCATGGATAAGAATGGATAGATTTGAAAAGCAGTAGCACACTATATACATTATCTATTGTGTATTATTTATATATGTGCAAAAACTATGAAATCCCTATCTTCCCATTTATTAAACTGCTGCTTTTCTCAGATATTTCATTTTCTATTTTCACAGAATGTAACTGAAGTGATAAAAAACACAATAGCAAATGATATTTTGAAAGTGCAGGTTTTCCTGCTATAATTTTTCCAAATTGATTTTTCTTACAGAGAGCCTTTCCTGACAACCCACCGGGGCCACAACACTCCCAATGCGTGGTTTTCTTTTAGGCAGCACTTTCAGCTATGCACAACCTACTGCAGAAAAATCCCCTTTCAGTTAGTCATATTTCCTCAAAAATGTGAGAAATAAAAGTGCTAATACGATGCTTTTTTTTTTTTTTTTTTTTTTTTTTTTTGAGAATGCATTATCTTAACTCGAGTTTAATGCCACATATTTTAATGGTGAGATTTTCGTCCACCAGGAAAACATGCTCTAACATGCCCATTGAAAAATCCAGCCTGCCTTCGGCTTCCACGCTGCCCTCTGCTGGCTTTGTAGCCGCAATCTCACACTGACTACAGCACCGCTTAGTAATTGAAGCCATTGCTTTTCGAATGCTCGCTTTCAACCTGGCCTGCTGCCAACAGCCCAGCTCCTGTCACAGCAACTCACAGTCACACAGTCACTCGGCCCCTCGCGGCCAAGACCGAAAAAGTGAGGACATTCAGGGGGAGATGTGCTCTGCCATACTTGCCATATGCCACAACCTGTACCAGGCTGGCATGGCCTGAGCCATCATCACCAGCCTACAAGAAACTGCTGAGTGATGTGTCTGACAGTTGTGTCTGTGGATGATGCTGAGAAGGAAGGCAGAAGCATGCACATTTGATGAGGCTGAGTTCAAACTGACTGTGGTTTTGGCTCTCCATTAGTTCCTTGCACTGTGATGTGTAAGAAATGGGACACTGTCTTCTTGGTCCTGAGTTTCCTTCCTTTTTAGAGCAACCTTTCCAGCAGTGGTTGGGGGGAGGTCTAGATGGGCCTAGGTATTGTCCAGGTGCTTGGGACATAGCCCTGTTACACAGACATGTCAGAGCAGCTTCTGGACTGTGACACTTGTAGCCAACAGCTGCGCTAGCTCCTTAGCAATCACTGCCGCTTCCGTCTGCCCCGTGCACAGACTTTTTCCTCAATTGGAATGGCTGCAGAAATCAGAAGATTGAGAAACGCACAGATGCACTCAGGGCAGATCGGTGGAGCGATCCCACGTTCCTATCGCTGTTCCCACACTTGCTGCCAGCCTTCCCGCGGCAGCTCCGTGCCACTCACCTGCGACTCCCAGTTGGTGGCTGGCGAAGGCGGGCAGCCTGCTGGGCCCCTCGCCCAGCCACCGCGTCAGGGTGGCCGAGCCCGACTCCGCGTGATGGAAGTCAAAGCCCTGCGACGCGGCCACGGCCGCCAGCCCGCTCTGGAGGATGGGAACGTGGAGCCAGACGGCGACCCGGCCTTCCTGCTGCCACTGGGCGACCGAGGCTGGAAGAGAAACGCGGGGCCACCGGTCAGGCCGCAGGCCTGAGAAGTTTAGGACAGACTACCAGCCGGCCGGCTTCCAGTGGCGCGCAAGGTAGGGTTTCTGCAGGGAGGTCTGCGCTCAGGCCCGACGCTCCGGGCCTAATAAATACGTGCCAGGGGGAGGCAGAGCGGCATCAGCAGCGTTACGCTGTAAGCGGCATTAGATTACCGGCAGCGCGGCGCCGCTCTCGCCCGGTCGCGCGCACCCACCTCCCCCGCCCGCGCCGACCCCGTGTCCGCCACTTGCCCCGCAGCCAGCGCCCGAAGGCGGCCCGCTCCCGGCGGCGAGGCCAGCGCAGCTCGGCCAGCTCCACGCTCACCCCGCCATACTTGTCCAGCCGAGGCTGCGGCCCGCCCCGACCCCCCCCCCGCCGCCGGCCCCCGGCCCCGCGCCCCGCGCAGCGCCCGCCACAGCGCCGGCCCCGCCATGGAGCGGCGGGAAGCGGCCGCCCCGGGGGCGGTGCCGGCCTCCGCCTCCGGAAGCACTGCGCGGCGGCCGGCGGGCGGCATGGCCGCCCGGCGAAGAAGCAGGGGACGGCCGGCCCCGGGCGGGAGCTCCCCGCTGGCCGGCGGGGCAGAGGGCGGGCCGCCGCTGCTGCACGTCGCCGAGGCGGTGCAGGCAGGTATGCGGCCCGGACGGTGGGAACGGCCTTGAAGCCGGGATCTGCCGCCCCGAAGCGGCGTCGGCACCGACGGCCTTTCGCTGCGGCAGACGTGAGGTCTGCTTGGTAAACGGCACGCGGGCCCGGCTGCTCACCCGGCCTTCGGTGCCACGGGAACGCGCTCTGTCCGTGCGCGGCCCGTGCTGCTGAGGCGCGGCCTGCGGGCGTGCTCGTGTGGGAGCGCGGGGTGTGCGGCACGTGTCCCGTGTGCAGAGCGGTGATGTGCTTTTCCCGAACCTTGCAGAAGATGACAAAGTCCCCACGATGTTCCGGAGAGCCCTGGCGCAGCTGTCTCTGAACAGCATGAAGGCCGCCAACATCTGCATCGGTCGTCCGGTGCTGCTCACGGCGGCGGGAGGAAAGCAGGAGGTGGGTGAGGCCCCTCCATACTCTGCTCCTCCTTTGGGCAGCCCTCGCGTTTCCGTCCGCTGGTGCTACTCGTACCTTAGCCCTCTGTGGAACCGGGTTGCAGTCTAATCCTCCTTCTTCCTCAGCCCGTGTTTTTATTAATATTGCTTACTTTGGAGAACTGAATGTGGGGCCGCTGACAGCTGTTTGCTTTGCATCTGCTTTGAATGGCATCCTGGCTTCTACCAGAAGTAGTGTTGCCAGCAGGACCAGGGAGATGGTTGTCTCCCCATACTTGTCACTGATGAGGCCATATCTCAGTTACTGTGTTCACTTTTGGGCACTTAACTACAAGAAAGGCATCCATGCCCTACAATATGTCTAGAGAAGGGCAGCAGAGCTGGGAAGGGTCTAGAGCACTTGACTCGCATAAGGCTGAGGGAGCCGCGGTTGTTCAGTCTGGAGAAGAGGAGGCTCTGAGGAGACTTTATGGGCCCTCTACAATTGCCTGACAGGAAGTTGTGGCAAGGTGTTAATTGGCATCAACCTCCTTCTCCCAGTTAACAGTGATGGGATGAGAGGTGATGGCTTCAGGTTGCACCAGGGGAGTTTTGGGTTGGACATTAGGATAAACATCTGAAAGATTGGTGATGTACTTGCACAGGCAAGGGAAGTGATGGAATCATTGTTCCTGGAGGTGTTCAAGAAACGTGTAGATGTGACACTGAGGGACACGGTTTAGTGGGCAGTATTGGTGGTAGGTGGATGGTTGCACTAGATAATCTTAGTCGTCTTTTCCAACCTACGATTCTATGATTCTTCCAGGTCTGCACTGCCTGGCCCACTCCAGGCTTCCCAGGTGGGAAGATTGGGCTGAGTGACACCACACAGAAGAGCCTGAGAGTCAGTGTGGGTGATGCCGTCACCGTGCAGCCCGTGACTGGTGCGGTCATCCAAGCAGAAGAAGTTGCTGTGAAGATGAGGTATGGAATATCTTGTCCCCTACCAATATGCCTACTGCAAGGCATCTGCTTTGTACTGCACACTCTTAAAAGGTGCCATTTTTCTTTCATGCTTGCATGAAATCGGTATGTAAGATCCAAGGGAATGGCATGAGGCTATGTCAGGGGAGGGTCAGGTTGGGTGTTAGGAAGAGGTTCTGCAGCAGAAGGTGGTGGGCATGGAACAGGCTGCCCAGGGTGATTATGGCCCTAAGCTGCCAGAGTTCAAGGAGCAGCACTCTCAGACATATTGTCTGATTTTTGGGTGTTGCTGTATGGATCCAGGAGTTGGAATTGGTAATTCTTACGGGTCCTTTCTAGCTCAGGGTATTGTGCGATTCTTTGAAAATTAAGCATCCACAGATGATTGAAGGACAAAGGCTGAAGTTTAATACCTGGTGGCTAACTGCTGCCTCCTGTGTGGGAAGCAGAGTGGGACAGCTGCAGCGTGAGGAGATCTCAGCTGAGGGAGGATTAGTGCTGTTGTGGAGAGCGAGATTGTGACTGTGTGGGTACGGTGGGTTCTTTAAGCTCCTGAGTCACTTGTAAGGCCCAAGGATGGTCTCTGCACAGTGTTGATGTTAGGTTAGAAAGAACCAGAAGGAGCCTGTGTTGTGGCTGTTGTCATTGGAGGTTGTGCTGCAAGCTGCTTCCTGAGGAGCTCGTGGTGAGAAGTTGTGCCATGGCTGGGGCAGTGGAGGGCTGACAGGCTCGGGAGAGCCCTCAGAGCTTCATCTATGATGTGTGTGGCTTTTACTTATTGGAATGTTTGTTGGTTTTTTTTTAAGTGGAAACTCTCGCAGAAGGGGTTTGGTTTTTTTCCCCTCTGAATTCATCAAGGGTGGAGAGCAGAAAGTGCAGATTAAGGCTGTCTTGAAATTACAAAGGCTTTGAAAAATTAGCCATTTATTGGTCTGCTGAATGACTTCTTATCTTTGTCACTGACTTAACGTTCCGCAGTCAGCATGTGGGTTGATACAGAATCTGGTTATGGTCATTTCCTAAATAAAGCTGTTTTCTAATCACTTTGAAAAGTCTCCTAACACCTGTAATTTCTCTAAGAAAATGAAAAAATCATGTCATTGCAGCTTTTTGCTACTGCTAATTTAGTCCTATAGGAAGTTTGATTTGATATTACAATATTTGATTGTTATTGCAAACAGTTTGGTTATAAAAAATATAGGGTTTGAATTTCAGGTGGTCCTGTGCAGACCCAGGAGTTGGACTTGTGCATCCCTTCCAGCTCTGGATATTCTGTGCACCTGTGATAAGGATGAAATCAGAGGCATCGCTTCTGAAATACTTGTGATAACTGTGATTCTTTTTGAAACTGTTTCAAAGGGAGAGTTTTCTTTCTGAAGAAGGATTTTGTGCCAGAATCCTTTACTTGGGCTCCTAGAAATGCTATGCACAGTGTGCCCCCAAATTTAAAGTCACATAAATTAAGGTTTTTCTAGAATGGCTCTAGGAGAGAACACATACAAACAGGAGTTAGTCTGTTTTAAGCCTACTGATGTACTGCAAACCACTGAAGCAAATTACAGTGAGTTGATATGTACTAAGTAATAGTAAATTTACAGCCAATCTGTCAGATAAGAATATTAGTTATTAAAAGAATAAATGGAATCCCGTTGTCCCAGAATTTCTTTGTTTTCTAGATGCTTTACAGGTATAATTTATTCTCTGAAAATTTGTATCTCTGGGGATTTGCTTGCATGCATTATTTATTTTCCAGTTAAAACCAACCTTCAGTTTCAGACCCCATCAGTGTGATTGAATGTGTGTTTGCTTGTCAGGAGCAGCTGTGCCATTTTGAGGGCTCCCCTCTGATAGCAGAATGCCTCATTCCTTTAAGTTACTTTTTTGATCGCTGAAACTGAGAAATGGATTTTTATTTCTAGGCTTGGAGCTCCCTCTCTTGGTCATAATTTTATTTGCAGCTGCTGCATCTGATTCAAATGTTTTTGGTGATGCTGTTCTCTTACAGGGGCTGACCTGTGGGCTTATAATATATAATCTAAATTTGTAAATGTAATTTACTCTGTTGTTTATTGCAGCATTTTGTATGAAAAATGGAACAAAATTGCATGCAAACACTCATTTTGTTAGCTGTGTGACTGATATCTTAAGAGTTGTTACTGGAGCCGAAGAGGAGCTCATTTGTCTTCCAGTTGTGGGGTTAAATCTCAATGTGTAAAGTTGGTGGTATTCATTGTCCTCATGCCTTGGTGGCATAGCCTCCATAGACTCTAGTTTTTGTAGCAATTAGTGACTGAGAAAATATTGTTTCTTCTTACCACAGGGATAAAGATGCCTGCATTAATGCTGAGGAAATGTCTGTCTGTCTGCTGAGAAACTTAGGTATAAATTTTGTTGCTTTTCTTTTGACTATTCAGTTTTTTATAGTGCAGTGGAAGGACATTTTGGACAGAAAAGCAGAGTGTTTCCTCTGTTCTCACTTGAGGGCTTAGGCCGAAATAGAAGGGATTATTCGTCTCACAGGGATCTTCTTTGGGCTAAGTCATATTACTATGATTCAAATATCTAACTTGTCTTAATCCTGCTCTTTCTGTCCTTCGTACCTACGGCTGTTTCAAATACAGTTGTTGAGCTGCCATTGTTGGCCTACTGGCTGATGGACTTTGGGATTCTCTTGTGTGGCGATGAAAAAGAGAACGATATTATGCATTAAGAACAAGATAAGGGATCAGTACTGGTGTGAAATCCCATGCTCTGAATCTTTAATGTATTGATAATAAATAAGCAAAATTACTTTTCATTGGGTAGCAAGTGTCTGTAAGTAAGGAAAAAATAAAACCAGTGTGTTTTTCAAGGTATTGAAATTCAAAGTTTAAATTTCTCAGTAAAAACCTTTTGGTTTAGGAATATATTATAACAGTGCTGGCAAGCTAAGAAGCAGGAAGCACAAATTGGATTGCAGATTTGTGAGTTTGGCTGGAAATAATAAATCCTGTTTACATCAGTGCTTTTGTGTGCCCATAGGGTGCATTAAGATCACATTTCCAGATCTCTCTCTGCCAACACAGACATAAAACTTTACTTTCTGTAGATCAAGGCTTAAGGCTGAATATGAAATACTGTGAACCTATGGGGCACACAGCAAATACAATTTTTTTACATCTTACAATATTAATTCTGTAATCCTGCTGTGCACACTGTGTGAAGTTCAGAATGCTCAAGTAATGATGGGCTCAGTACAAGAGTTTAAGTATGATGACAAATGTTTATCCAGTACAGTCTTTTTATGTATAAAAGGATCATTTTTATTACCTGAAATTACATGTAAACTATGAACTACCTTCTGTGGTGTTAATTTATACTACTCTTTACATTTTTCTGTGAAGGCTATCCTAAAATTATTGCCACCAATTACTTTTATCAACTTTCTCCTTTTTTTTCCTTTTCAATTCTCTCACAGATGGGAAAGTTGTTTTACCAGAAAATCTCCTGGCATTCAGTTTCTATGGCAAACTGTGTAATGTGCTGGTGATGAAGGTGAAGGGGACGGACAGTCTGGAGCTGCATGCCCAGGCTGGTGCCATTTCCAGCGAGATGTGTGAGCCAGACCTGGAGAAATCTGACTTGGAGATGAGTGCGCTGGATCTGTCCTTACAGCTCAGCAGGATGGACATTGATGAAGATCCAGAGGCTGCATCTGCGAGCACTCCATGCAAACCGGTGTGTCTGGGTTCACCAGTTACACCCAGTTCTGCTGTGACAGCTGCTGCTCAAGGTTCTCAGGGAGATGAAGCCTGCAGCAGAGAGGGTACTGCAGACTTGGCTGCTGGTTTGGAGCTGCCTGGAAAAGAAGGCAGTGAGAGACTTCCATCGGCTGCCAAACCTGGAGCATTCCGCAGCACAGACACTTTTTATTACATTTCTTCAAGAACTAGAATCAATTTTATAGAAACTAGGACGAACATAGCAGAAGATAGTGACCATGGACCCCAAGTTACTTATGACATGATAGGAGGTTTAAGCAGCCAGCTCAAAACTATTAGAGAAATGGTTGAACTGCCCCTGAAGCAAGCTGAATTGTTCAAGAGTTACGGTATGATGCTAAGAGTTGACTTTCTTCACTTGATACTAGTAATTTTTTTCCTCTAATGTGACTTTTTTTTTTTTTCTTATAAACCAAGTTATTTTACCAAAATATGCACAGAATTTTATGTCGTGCTGATCCAGCATATCTGTGTGTCCAAGCATTGTCAAACTGTTTTACAGTTTGTATACATGGCTGCGATGAAGATGTAGTGGTTAGCTTGTGTGAAAAGTAATTCAGTAGGAAAGTAACATGTGTCTATATCTAAGACAACTCAAATATGCTTAGGCAGAGTTTATAGCAAATAGTGGGATGCTGTGAGGAGCCCCCTTCCCTGCACTGTCCAGCTCTGACCTCCAACTCCAGCATCACCACGTGTTCTTGTGTTGACCCAAATGTTGCTTCAGCAGCAAGGTTCTTCACACTTGGCTCCCAGTGTATCCAGTCAGACTCTCTGCTTCTTCCACAACCACAGGAGTGTTGGGAGCAGAGGCAGAGGGGCTGCCCTGGAGGCCAGAGCTGCCAGGCGGCTCTATATCCTGCGGTACCAGAAACACCACACGAGGGAGCAGTGTGTGCTGGAATGGGCTCTTAGAAAGTGGGCTGTCTGCAAAGGCACTATTCCTGTCCTCTGTCAATTAGCCCATCAGTTTCGCCCTTTTGAGTTCCTAAGACTCAGTCTTTGTGCCTACATCAGGTGTCTTACCCTCTGTTACTGTGGCAACGCACTTCATCCGAAGTTGGTCCCCTCTTTTGGGGGGGACCTTCTTAATTTTCAGTTTTTGCTTTTGGCTTTCTACTCTCTCAATTTGCCTTCGCTGGTCTGAAATGTTTCTTTTCCAGCTGGGGTCACAATCTAACTTCACTGTGGTCATCTGTAGCTTGTATCCAGTTTTAGCTGGACCCAGGAATATTTTGTTCTTTCAGTGTCCATTATGTTCTGTGCATCTTTCTGTCTGCTTTGGCTTTTCATGTTTGCTATTAAAGGGGCACATTTGTCCTTTTCACACATGGGTATGTATTTTTCATCTTTTTTTTTGACGACTGCTGTAGGGTGTAGCTGAGTACTTCAATCCAGGCTTGTGGTATTTCTGAGATCCCTGGAGTGTGGAGGAAAGGTGGTTTCCTGGTGTTGGAAATTTGGAATAATGGCACTGTAGGAGTTGTTAATAACTTCAAAAAGAACATTTGTGAAGATGAGGTGCTTAGACCAATAATTTTTTGGAAAAAATAACCCCTAAAACACAGGGAAAACCACGAAAGAAAACAATTGAAATGTTTTCTTTTTAAACAAAATCATTTGGACTTTAAAAAAGCTGAATATGCATCCTGTCTAAGTGTCACACATCTTGTAGAGAGCTCTTTCCCCTGAAAATGCCATTATAGCAAAATGAAAAGAATAATGTTGGGTAGAGAAGTGAATGCTGAGATCAAGTTCTAATCAGTAATAACTGTGAGGCAGCAAAATGTGCCAATGCAGCATAATGTGCAAATGATAAATGAGGCATTTATCACAAATAACTCTCTTCTCTGTTTGTGTGCATGTGCTGGTTTGAAGGAATCTCACCTCCTAGAGGAGTCCTGTTGTATGGTCCTCCAGGTACTGGGAAGACTCTCATTGCCAAAGCCATTGCAAGTGAGGTTGGTGCTCACGTAACTGTTATTAATGGTCCTGAAATAATAAGCAAGTAAGTCCTCTCAGTTTATGTTAATTAATTCTGTAGATACGTTAGCCCACAACCTGTGTGGGCATCTACCCATTGGAGGCCCATCATCTTCTGTGGAATGGGCTGTAGGCTATCCATCCAAGAGTCAAAAACAGATGGGAAAGGCTTCTCTCAAGTAGGACTCCTCTTTCTTGTTGCAGTAAGAGTTTCATTGGATTTGGCTTAGAAATTTGGGTAAGCATGGGCTGAATTAAAAAGAAGACTAGAACTGCACCTGCAGTCGCATGCTGTTTCTGCAACCAGAGGAGTTACTTTACTTGCTGATGCGTATTTGAATTACTTTACTTGTTGAATTGTATTTGAAATTAATAGATGACAGTGTACAGATTAATGACTCCAGAAGACTTTTCTTTGTTGTTCTTTAAAAACACAGACATAAATTGTTCCAAGTGCAGTTTTGATTTTTTTGCTATTTAGGACACAGGTGTATCCTTGTGCTTTTTAACCTGTTTTTTGTGGTTATTTTCGATTTTCATGTGCTTTATAAATTTGCTGGAGACTTTGAGAAGGTGCGCTATGGCTTTTGGAACACACAAGCAGTAATTATTTAAATTGCTCAGAAAATACAAAAAAGCCTCACCATTTCTTATTAAAATGTTTTAATTATCATAGGTTTTATGGAGAATCTGAATCAAGACTTCGTCAGATATTTGCCGAAGCTTCTTTGCGGTATGTTTTTTTGGATAATTATATTCGTGCTCATTTCTTTGCAGCATTGGTCCCAGAGTTAATGGTTTTAAAAGAAAAACATTTGCAAGAATCCTTGAATTGAATCATTTTTCTTTTCTTGCAGTGGTTTTTAAAAGGAAATAAATTTATTTCTATAGAGCTGAGTAAAAGGAGAACAGTGAAATTCTAGTATGCCTGTTTAATGTTTTGGATGCTACTCTGTTTAAGGGTCTGTTACGGAAGGTGCCAGAGTGCTTTATCTGTGTCATTAGTGCGTGGTGCACTTAATTCAGCAGGTGGAAGCATGAGCCAGAGTTTCACCGGGATCCAAGTTTTTCTACTTTTGTCTTTAAAGAGCAGTGTAAGACTGAGCTGGGATGTGGAAGCTAGCTCTAGATGAGCTGGTGTTGGTCCTGGATATAGCATGCCTCTCAATTATGGTGGCAAATTTACTGGATCTGATTGAGGCAGACGTTGAGATGGTCGTTGTTGATAATACTTTAGCAAAATGCTGTCACATGATGCATTTGTGTAGGTGGCAAGTAAGAGGCTGTGTTTTTATTCCCTAAATTGGTATTGAGTCTTTGTAAGAGAGTCATAGGAGAGTAAAGTGACTTGGTCATTGAAGATGTTATCTGATATTTTACTCATTTTGGTTCTCCTTTAGAGTAGTGCCATACTCTGTGTTGAAACTTTCAGCTGCTTAAAGCAGTGGGATGCTCATTAATTTTCATTGGAACTGGATATTTTCCTTATAAAGTTCTGCAAGTCTGTGTCTTGATGTTTTAAGTCCTCTTGAGCTACCTAACAGGTTTTTAGGTTTTTTTTTTTTTCCATTTTTTCTTCTAGTCGTCCTTCTATTATATTTATAGATGAATTGGATGCACTCTGCCCAAAGAGAGAAGGGGCTCAGAATGAAGTGGAAAAGAGAGTTGTAGCTTCCTTGCTGACATTAATGGATGGCATTGGCTCTGTAAGTAGACTCATTAAGACAATTCAGTGTGTATGGGAACTAACTGAGCAAAGTAATTTTACTTCTTTTAAGCCAATTTTAGATATATCATTCAGGGGAAAAGAAAATAGCCCTAGATGAAACTTTATGTAGTGATCTAATGCTTTATTGGATGCTAGGCATGGAGAGGGAATGTCTCCTGGTAGCTGTGGGATAAAAAGAAAGTAAATTTTTTCTCCATTTCTGGTCTTTCATTGGACTTCTCCTACTTCTGTAGTTCTGGTGACAAAACTGGTATTTTACTGCGAGCTTGTCGTTGAACTAAACTAGCTAATTTGATTGCTCTGGCAAAGAGATCAAGATATTTCTGATGATATGTGGTCTACGTTACTAAAGGAAACAATGACTATTTTAAGATTGCCATAGTAAAATTTAGGATATAACAAAAGCCTACTGAAGAAACAGTGAATTCAATTCACATTAGTGTATTACAGATTAAGGCCATAAAATTTGCCAATCTGTCATTCATTCTTTTCTGTTTACTAGCAGGAGAGACAAAAGAACTCTGTCCACAATATGAAAAATGGGCCTCTGCTGTTTATTTAATGTGCAAGTTTCTTGTTATTTGACTGCACTGTGGCTTTTACTGACCGGTCACGGATTGTTCACAGTCAGAACATATTTTCTCTTGGCAAAGACTGCTGACTGTTTTCCATGGAGAAAGTACTGCATTCTCAAAATGCAAATGACAGTGCAAGTGACGTCATTGATTTTGCCTCTCTTTGAATGTGAAAAGCAGAATTTGAGGAAACTTGTTAGGATTTTTGACTTTGCTTTTCCTACTGAGCCTACAGGGGGTTCTGTAACCTGCCATCTCTGCTGCTTTTTATACCCTAAATGATTTGCCTCCCAACCTTGTTTGTTCAGGGTCTATTGAAACCTTTTTGTTCTTGGGCCAGCACTACCTTCTAGCCTAAATGCTGACTGCTTTTTCCTAGGTGCTTACTTTCCTGATACTGGAAAGCAAGTTCTTGGGAGTTAGAGAGGTATACGCTGGGATTTGGGGATCTTGGAGTGTAGTTTCTCTTTTGTTGTTTGTATGTACATAAAACCTAAGGTATTGCTAAATTGCAGGTACAGTTCAGGGGTTGATTTGCTTTGCTCCTTTAGGTCTACCATCAGGATTTAATGTGTGTAGGAGCTGTGAAAAGTGAGTAGGAAATATGTTTATGTTAAATTACATTTATATATGTTTATAAACATGTTTACAGTTAATGTTTTGCATTGTTTGATGTCTTCAGGAAGGCAGTGAGGGGCAGCTCGTGGTACTGGGGGCCACCAATCGCCCTCATGTGCTGGATGCAGCACTGCGCAGACCCGGCCGTTTTGATAAAGAAATAGAAATAGGAATTCCTAACGGCCAGGACCGCCTGGACATACTACAGAAGCTTCTGAAGAAAGTTCCCCATTCTCTCACGGCAGCAGAGATGATGCAACTGGCTGATAGCGCGCATGGTTATGTGGGTGCTGACTTAGCAGCCTTGTGCAAGGAAGCAGGTAAGGATTTGTGTGTCTTATTCAGTATCTTACTTAACAGTTAGCCTCTTTTCAAAAAAAATGAAAAATAACAAATAGAAATCCACTAATGGATATAAAGTTCTGCAAGCCTGTGTCTTGATGTTTTAAGTCTTCTTGAGCTACCTAACAGGTATATAATATATAATAAATATATAATCCACTAACTAACTAGCCTACTAATGGCTTTTGAAAGGATGAGATCTGATATTTTTTTCTGTCAAAGGAAATTTAGTCCGGCACAGAGCATGAGGAACACCTCATGTCTGCTCCTGCACAGACCCAGAAAATGTTTGAGCATTTATTGATTTTAAAAACGAATGTTAAGATTATTAACACCAGGAATCCCTTGTGCCAGTTCTGGGACACCTGATATCTATCTCTTGGTTTTCTGGTGGTTTAGTGAATTAACTGACCTACCCCTAGGAATTTTTCTGCTTGGATTGAAATCCCGTGTTGCTTAGGCTGGACAGCTTGTCCTGCAGATCTGCATTCCCAAGATGCTGAGACATTGAGTGTTGATTAATTCTGTACTGCGTGCTTCTGTGTAATTTGTCTGTTAGCAGGAGCCTGTGACTGGGGCTGTGTGTGCTGGTTGGGTCAGGCAGCTCAGCTGGGGCACAGCATGGGGGCCTCCCCTGGCCTCCGGTACCAGCACAGCGTTGTAGAACCATCCACACATCCTGCAAGGAGGGTTCAGTATGTTCCAGGCAGTGCTTAAACACAAGCTCAGTTCTGTTTTCATTGGCCGAAATAGGGAAAGTGCACTGTATCAGTTCTTACATTTTGCTAGAATGTGTCGACACGGTTTAAGTGTTGGACCTTGAGAATACCCAAGAACAGCCGCTTAAAGCAGTCTAGTCAAAATATGACTCTTCAGTTCTGCTTACGCATATTTGCTCCCATATAGTTGGCAAATATGTATTTGCTGTATGTGCTGGTTACTTCTATTTCCTTTGGCACTTGGACAGCTTCCTCTGGCAGTGACCCTGCACAGTTACTTCTTGCATCAGAGTTAACTATTAAGCTGACAGAAGTTTTATTAGCGCTGATGGCGCTGGGAACGGCAAGATCTTTGCTTGCCAATTTCCAGAATTTTAAGGAGATGGTTCTCAAATAAGAATTTGTGGGCTTTGCACGGATCAAGATGAAAAAAAAAAATGTATGGACACAGCAAGGCCTCACAAAGTGCTCTTCTGCTGGCTGTGGTTGTGTTCTAAGTTAGCAAACGTTCATTTAAAGACAAATGTGTACAACCAACAGCAGAAGAAGAGGCTCCCTGTCTGTTTTTCTTCCACTGTGCTTTTGGGAGTTTGTCAGTGTGCCTATGTCACAGTCCTCACATATTAAATCCTTAAATAAGGTAATCTAAAATTTTCATTGAAAATGTTGTGTTTTGAATTCCAGATGTGATCCAGCCTCAGTGCTGCTTGTGAATTCTGGATATTTTCTCATCCAGCTGCAAAGAGGAAATATTTACCCTCTTTAAGAGGGCTTTTCAGACAGCAAATTCTAAACGTTGTGTACACTGAATGTTAAGTGTTTTCTCAGCTCTGTATAGACCCAAAGCTCTGGCACCTACCAGTGGGACTGCAGGATGCACTGCTATCTGGGAGCTTTGCATGCAAACCCAGTGCTTGGAACAGGGGAATGAGGATCTCTCCTTTTTCATTGATCTTCCCTGAAGTTTGAAGCCATGCTGTTAAATATCTGTCATTTGCTAACTTGGAGTGACCTCTGCTGGGGAAAATACAGCCCAGCTGCTTTAACATTACATACACAGAAATTAAATTGCTAGTGGTTAAGGAATATCCATAGTAGTGTGGGGTTTTTTTATTGTTTAAGCTCTCGAAATCTATTTTTATATTAAATTTTCAACACCTTGTAAAATATTACTAGTTTCACTGGAGTTAGTCTTAGAAAAGAGAACTTTTATGAGGTAGTTTCTCCGTAGCAGCACAGGCTTGTTCCATGTGGCAAGTGTTCCAGTGATTTGTCTTTTTTTGTTGTTTTGCCGAGCAGTGGGCTCCTATTGCTTCACTTCAGAAACTGTGCCGTGGGCCAAGACAGCTTGCTGTCCAGGAATGCTTTCTGATAGTCTGCCTAAGTATTCCTTGTTTACTTTTATCCTATTATTTCTATTTACATCCTTGTATAACACGTTCAGTCTCTCCCTCCTTAGTGTTTACACCCTTCGGATATCTGAAGGCTGTTCTCATGTCCCCTACCTCCTCATTCATTACTTGGCCAAACTATAAATATTTAGCTCGTTTAATCTTTCCTCATAAATAAGCCCTTCCTGCCTTCTGAGAACTTCTGTTGATTTTCTCTGAACTCCCTCCAGTTCGTCAATAATCATCTGGTAATGTGGTGCTGAGAATTGAACCCGCTGTTCGTATTTATTAAAATACAAAACACAATGTAAACGTATGGTTAAGACTGCTGGTGTGAGTTTCTACGTAATCAAGATGTTTAATATTCAGGTGGTATCTGAGTTAAGAGTTCCTTTGCAAATTTTAAATGCAACAATACCGTCTGACATGCATGCAAGTACGGGTAAAACATGGAAATGAATTTAGAGGCGTGAATTCCGAACTCGGTTGTTACAGCAAGATTATTCTTGCTTGTTGATTGGAGATCTCTTGGCTCTTGGTTAGTCCTTTAGCATCTTGAGATGCTTTGTCTGTGGTTGGAAAGCCTGAAAGTTTACAAGCTGGAACTGTTTATATTCTCAACACAAAGTTTAGAGAATTTCTGAAGGACTCATCCTTCCTTATCTTTATACTTCAACTTTGTTTTTATTTTTTGTGCACATGTATAATATTGTGTATGTAGTGCTTATATAAACCAAGGTTGTAGAAATTAATATAACATGGTAAAAGTAGTAACTGTATGGCTACGACAGCCAAAACTTTCACTTTGGCATCAATAGTTCAGTTTTCTAACATCCCTCATTATAAAAGCTTTTGTTTGTCTTCTATCCAGTTCTGACTAATGTGAATTAACTGAAAGTAAACAGCTATTGTAGAGTTAAATATATTCCAACTGTTTTCTTGGCAGAACTCGCTTGTTCTCCATGCAAGTGGTGCTTGCTTATACTTCTGGGGTCAGACAAACCATTTCTCTTTTCTGTCCAGCAGCTCAGTGCATTTTCATGGAAGTCATTAAGAATTTTCAGGAGCCTCTTAAGATCATCTTGCACTGAACGCTTCTACTGTCTTGTGTTTGTGATGTAAGGAAGGGCAATGTTGTGTATGCTGGAATGGGCAAGGAGAAGAAATGGAGACAAGAAACCCGTGTTTCTTGAGAGAACGTGTGTCATTCTCTGGGCTTTTCCAGTCTTAACGTGACCAAACACGTGAAATACTCATGTATGGATGGTATAATCATCAGTTAAGCATGGTTTTTTTTCATCCTTCTAAAGTATTAGAGGATTTTTCTTTCAGTACCTTCTTTTCCACTACAGAAGATAGCCTTAGCATAAAATGAAGTGACAAAATCATCTGGCTGTTTGTATGAAAAAATGCTAGGTATCATGAGCCTTATGATATTGTTGCAAGAGCTGACAACAGGGTGATGAGCATCAGCTCTGTGTCCCAGGCCTTGCTGTTGCACAAGTTACATGTACTTATCTAGTGTTAAGCAAGATACTGTTTGTCAGATTTGGAAATAACTAAGAAATTGCTTATGATCAGTCTTACAAAGTTGAAATAAAAAATGTCAGTCCTACTGTGGCAAGAATCACTGGCTTGTATGAAAGGCTTCTCAGAATTAACATACGTCATCTCTATTCAAGGTTCCGTTGTCTATAATGGCTACACTGGAAAAATAGTGATTTGTTAGGTTTCTTTACTGCCTGGCAGTCTGCTTGTGATTCCCACCGTTAAGTATGTGTTGCTGCTTCTTGCAACCTGTCCTAAAGGATGACAGCATAGTATGGAAAACCTGCCAGTACCTCAGTAGGCAGTTACCCATTACCCCTTGGACATCAGCGTACGATGGGATCCTCACGGTCGTCTCCGGATGACTGGAGTACCCTCTATGGGATTCATGTGCACAGAAGTCCTGCCGAGGAAAGGGCTTACTGATGTGTGCAGCTGAGAAACTTGTATTCTTAAGACTGGAAGACGTTTACCTAAATTGTTTAGTAGACTACCTTCTAATGTGAACAGCTGCCTTCAGAATTGTTCTGTCTCCAGGTGGAGGCAGTGTTTGGGAAATAGACTGCCATATCCTTGCATGTAATGTCCATGTTTGTACCCTCCTGAGATCTTGTTGCTTCTGCTTTCATTAAGTGGCCACACAGCCTTTTATTAATTCCCTAAAAAATAATAATGGTTTTAATTTAACAACAAAGATAAGCACTCCACTTTTTTGGAAAAACATATGAAATGTTAATTATGTACTGGGGACATGAATGGTATAAACTGTACTGAATGTTAGAAGATGCTTAGCAACAAAGGTTTCCAAATATAGCAATTTTTTATAAACTTATCCTTCTATGGCTGCTTGTAGCATTTCAAGAGAGTGAATATAAATATAACTTGATTTCTTCAAGAAGTGGGTTCAGTCACGTTGTTTACAGAGAGAGGAAGTATTTGCTTTGTAACTCTTAGAATTTATCTCAAACATCCTTGTTCATTGCACATAATTTCAGTGTGCTGATATAAAACACTTGGACTGTGATAAGATAGCATCATGAGGAGAGGAAGAACAAATGTCTTTGTTTAAATTGTGGTCTGTCTTGCAATAACATCAGTTTGGTTCCAGTAAGGATGCTGCAACCAGTGTAACTTCCAAACTAGTGTGAGAGAAGCAGTAATCGCTTTGCTTTGCATCAAAGCTTTGTAAATCACCAGACTGCATTACGATTAGAGGTATCACCTTGCTTAGATTTTGATATGATAGTGGTTCCCTGATTTGAGCTGCTATTAGCAAAAACCTTACAGGAATAAGAAGTTGAGCTGTGTTTTTGAGTAGCA